GCGAGACAGGGATCGTGATCGTCATCATAGGGACCGCCACAGGGATCGCGAGAGAAGTGAGCGGAGGAGAGATAAGGACGATGACGATGATGATCACTACCGTATCCGGGACTCTGATAGGTATGAGTTTTTTTTAGCTAGTTATTTACTTGTAAAATGAATGTTCTGTTGTGTGCTGTCAACTGAGTTTGATGCAATTTGGAATTTTTTATATTGATTGTTACTAGTGTGTGAATTAATCAGGGGAAGCATTCCCTTTTTTTAAATTTCTTTATTCTAGAAACAAATCCTTTGAATTATTGTGAGTCTTATTTCTATTTCTATTATTATTAATATTATTATTATTATTATTATTATTTATGAATTGATTTTACAGGCGGAGGGATTATGACAGAGACAGGGAGGATAGGCATAGGCGCAAGTCTCGGTCTCATTCGAGGGGTAGATCTGAGCACAAATCCAGATCGAGGTCACGTTCTCGTTCACGCTCAAAAAGGTAGTTATTTGAGAGATTAGTATGTGAATGTGGATAAAAAATGCGTTTGAATCACTTTAAAGGGCTTCCTAACTACCGTAGCAAATTCTATATTTGGAATAAACACTTGGTTGACATGAGTTATTGTCATTCAAATTTTTTGCTTTACTCGGGTCTCTTTATCGACCAACTTATTGTTAGTCATTTTGCTTGCTTGTCGTCTTTATTCGTACTATTTGACTATGTAGGATCTAGCTGCATGGATTTAATTAGGAAAAGGAACTTTGATGGCGTACATAAATATCTACTATCCGTAGTGGTTTAAATTTGTAGGTCATGATCAAATTTATACAAATAATTTTTGGCGTAATTTTTAAATATTGTGCTCCTTGGAGTATGTTTTGATTAGTGTTATCTTTCCAGATGTATGGGGTTTTCAAAATTTGTTCTGTATGTGTTGTGGTTTATCATTTATGTACTAAATCTTTCGTATATTTGTTTCCCTTTTATATGAGTTCGGTATGTATTATCCAGATGTATGGTCTACAGTAACCAGTTTATGTAGTGAAGTAGAGAACTATCAAGTTATATGAATTCTGTAGTAGAGATTTCTTGTATTAGTTTCATGTAGTTTATGTCTGGGATAAGATGGAAAATTTTGCAGATTTTATTTTTCTCTTTTGTTGCGATCATAACTTTTTTTAAGTAATTCCCAGAACGTAGGTTTTAGTCTCAGGGTTTTAAGTTGTCACTTATATATTATATTTGTTCTTTGTATCCTGACATTAACTCCTGCAGCAAAAGGATTAGCGGTTTTGACATGGCGCCTCCTGCTTCTGCAATGTTAGCTGGTGCTGCCGTTGCTGCAGCAGGTACATTTTCACTCCTATACGTAGGATTGTTATATTTTGTTAACTGCCTTTTGTCTTTGTTGGAATAGTGTGGAAAGTTCGTATCCAATTGATGGTGTTACTTTGGTAAGCTATATTTTGTTCCTTCACTTGTGCATATAGCCTTTATAAATCTGCGGTCTGTGGACGGGTTATGATTTTTTATTGTTTAATTGGTGAAATAATTCTGGGACTGAGAGATCTTTCTGGTTTTTTCTTGTGTTTGGTGTTTTTGTTTGTTTGTTTCTATGTCTTGTCCTTTGTTGTAAGAAGGCAATGTTGGGCTACTTGCCCCACTGTGATGACAATGGGTGTGAGCCGACTTCTGTAGCTTTTATGTACAAGGAGGAATCAATGCACCGGTTTGATGGATCTTGTTCGTCTTCAACCGGCAACTATTGCCTTTTTTTGGTAGTCTTACAAATATTTCCTCCAGAACTTGTAAATGATGTATTATTTTGATCTCCTTTTGATAGACTATATAAAATTGAAGGTTAGGATATCCTTAATCTAATGAATTTTCATGGAAAATTAAGTGGCAGAGGAGTCATTTGGTATTTACATTCAGTTAGTCCTAGAAGTTAAATTTGATCTGATAACTGAAATGGGATCTAATTTTTTTTGCAGGGCAAATTCCTGGGACTAGTCCGACCATTCCTGGGATGTTCCCAAACATGTTCCCTCTAGCGACCGGTCAGGTATCTCTCTCTCCTCTCTTGCTCACTTTCTTTCGCTGCCTTCATCCTCCCTTCCCTCGTCCCTCCCACCATCCCTCCTAACATATTGCGACCCACACATGTTAGCATGCTTGATCTTCACTAATATTATGTCTTTTTGTGTGCTTACAGCAGTTTGGATCCCTTCCAGTTATGCCTGTACAGGCAATGACTCAACAGGTTGGCATGATTGATAAATTTTTTTTCTTCGATGCATTCCTACATCCGACACTCCCCTATATGTAGCATGTGCTGACATTAATTGTTTTTTATTTATAATCAGGCTACTAGGCATGCCCGACGGGTGTACGTTGGAGGGCTTCCTCCTACAGCAAACGAACAGGTTTACTCACTTTTTTTAACCTTTTATTATTTGTGCTCTTCTACTTATGGTTAGTAAAGTTACATTGTTATATTCTTTGACATTGTTCAGATAAATATCTATTTTTCTTCAATGAATACTTCCATGAATTTTGTTTTTGTTAAATTAGTCACGCTACAAAAAGAATAAAGAAATATGGTTTACTCCAAATGTACAATGTGTCTTAATGTGCCATCATCTGCAGTCGGTTGCTACATTTTTCAGCCAAGTTATGGCTGCAATTGGAGGGAATACAGCTGCCCCAGGTATACTGATGTTTGCACTCAAGTCTGTACATAATCAAGTGTCCTTGCCTAAAGACGATTACCTAATTGTTTTCCTATTTGTTTCATGCAGGAGATGCTGTTGTCAATGTTTACATTAACCACGAAAAGAAATTCGCTTTTGTTGAGATGAGATCGGTTGAAGAGGCCAGCAATGCAATGGCTCTGGATGGAATTATATTTGAGGTATTCTAAACTTCCCTTGTGTTTAGATCAGTATAGGATTGTTATTTGTGCCGCTTTGACATTTTGTAAAGCAGATTGCATGGTATTGACACTTTGTGAAGCATATTGCATGGTATTGACTTTCCCCCTTCTTTAATTGGGTAATTAATACAGGGAGCCCCTGTAAAGGTGAGGAGACCTAGCGACTACAACCCATCTCTTGCTGCAACACTTGGTCCAAGCCAGCCAAGTCCCAATCTGAACCTGGCTGCTGTTGGGCTTACACCGGGTTCTGCTGGTGGGCTTGAGGGTCCTGACCGCATATTTGTGGGTGGGCTACCCTATTACTTCACAGAAGCACAGATCAAGGAGTTGCTGGAATCCTTCGGACCCCTTCGTGGTTTTGATTTAGTGAAAGACAGGGAAACAGGAAACTCAAAAGGCTACGCTTTTTGTGTTTATCAAGATCTTTCAGTTACGGACATAGCTTGTGCAGCACTTAACGGTATTAAAATGGGTGACAAGACGCTCACAGTTAGGCGTGCTAATCAAGGTGCCAACCAGCCCAAACCAGAGCAAGAGAGTGTTTTGTTGCATGCACAGCAGCAAATTGCATTGCAGGTAAGAGTTAAATTGGTTTTTCCTTTAGAAAATTGTGTTATGGACAGGTCACTCCTGCTGAAGGAGTCCGTAGTCTGCAGTTACTGATATTTTGGTGAAAAGGTGTCTTTTTTTGTTGCAAATATGATGTTTACTTTAGAATTGTCCATGTTATCCTAGTAAATAATGCATAAATTATACATGTAGTTGTAGACTTTATAAAATAGTGTATCCTTGATAAATATATGATGTAGTTTGAAAACACTCTTTTTCATAACTTATCTATATATTTCATATTATCCTTGTACTGAATTTTTAATCTTTTCGTTTTTGGGTGAGAATATTTTATGTAATATGGGCCGTATTTCCTAACATGCAGTGTTTAAATGAATGTGCTTATATACTTTACTCAATAATACTTTCAATCTTCTTAATATTGATTCTGATCTGAACTCGACTTTAGTTTTGGTTTAACATCTTGAGGTGTTTGTTTCATTTGCAGAGGTTCATGTTGTTGCAACCGCCTAGTTCTGTCGCCACCAAGGTTGTATGTTTAACTCAAGTAGTAACTGCAGATGAGCTTAGGGATGATGATGAGTATGAAGATATTTTGGAAGACATGAGGCTGGAAGGCGGAAAGTTTGGTAAATTACCATCACTCTAGTGTTAATTTCACAATTTCTTTTTTTTTCTTTTAATTATCCTACAAAGTTTATTGTGGTATTGATTTTCTTTTTCTTTTTTTTTGTCCCCATCTTTCTGTTTTACAGCCTTTTTTGTAGTCACACATTCTGCTATAAAGATTCAGGCCTAACATTCAGACAGAAGCCTCCCTAACCTTCTAACTGAATTCATCTACGATTTGTTTTGTTGTCTATTTCTAAGATCTATTTGTTTTTCACTGATTTGCAGGACCGTTAGTGAATGTCATCATCCCACGTCCAAGACCAGATGGTGAACTGTCACCTGGAGTTGGGAAGGTTGGTCTGAATTCTAGTTATTAATACATTTAAGTTTGAAAAATCTGATTGACAGGATAACGTCTTCTACTTGCTGAAACCATTCTTCAATTCACAGGTGTTTTTAGAGTATGCAGATGTTGACGGTTCTACGAAAGCCCGCACTGGGTTGAATGGCAGGAAGTTTGGTGGTAATCAGGTGGTAGCAGTGTTTTACCCGGAAGACAAGTTTGCCCAGGGCGATTACGAGGGCTAGTTGTTTGTCCTAATATACATATTAACTGGATTGTCAAGATTTCTTAATTAGAACTTTCGAGTTTGCTATTTCCTCAGTGTTCTACATTTAGTGGTATCTTGTAGCCTAGTAAGTAAACTAGGATGATTGTTCCTTTTTTAGTTTCTTTTTTTGGTTGAAAATTACAATTGTGTACTTTTCCAGTTGGTGCGAGAAGTGAAAATATGAACTTAAATATGAGTTATGGTCTCTGTGGTTGAATGCACTTCAGCTTTTCATAAGCAAAACCACGTATTTTTCATTTTTGGTATAAATTAAACACTTTGAAGCATTTCTCAACAACAACAAAAATCACTTTGAGCCATTACCTTTTAGGCCTCATCCCAAACCTTTCTAACTCACCAAGAACTAGTTGGTGAGCTAAACATATCAAATTGAGCTTCAGGCTCGATTGGGAATTATTATCAAATTGAGCTTCGGGCTCGATTGGGAATTATTATTATGTGACGATAACACAACGTGATAAACAATTGATAAGCTGATTTAGTTTACGAGTTTATTCAGTAACATGTCCAATCTTTCATTACTCAACATCATTGAGCAATTATATGATCGGGCCTAAGAAATCTGGAAAGAACAGAAAGGGATTACCCATAGCACAGAACAATAAATTTCACCATAGTGTCGCTTTTTCCTTTGAGTTGAAGAATTATATTTAAATAAAAATATATATATTCCTGGGTAAAAGGTTTCCTGATACGGAAAATCCCGGGAAATGGTTTCCTATATTTATGCTCCGCTCTGACCCCACAAAAAAATGTTTGCACCACGACAAAACCAACTCCTAAAACCCTAATATTCAGAAGCAACCAACAAGTCTTTCACCCAAAACCCTGAAACAGCAAAACCCTAAAAATGTCATCTTCAATTCCTCTCCGCCATCTCCGCCAGCTCTCTACCACCGCTAAATCTTCAATCACCATCTCACAAGCGAAGACCAAGCTCCGAACAGAGCACGACCCTGACAAAGCCCTAGAGATTTACACCTCTGTCTCCGAACACTACTCGTCTCCTACCTCCTCTCGCTATGCTCAGGACCTCACCGTTCGTCGCCTCGCCAAGTCTCACCGCTTCGCCGACATCGAAAAATTCATTGAATCTCACAAAAATGACCCAAAAATCACCCAAGAGCCTTTCTTGTGCACCCTCATCCGATCGTACGGCCGCTCCGGCATGTTCGACCACGCAATGAGGACCTTTGATCAAATGGACCAGCTGGGTACTCCGAGATCTTCACTTTCCTTCAATGCTCTGTTAACTGCGTGCACCTATTCGAAACAGTTCGAAAAAGTCCCCCAGCTGTTCGATGAAATTCCCAACAAGCATGGTGTCTCCCCAGATAAAGTGTCGTATGGTATATTAATCAAGTCGTATTGCGCGGCTGATAAGCCCGAGAAGGCGATTGAGACTCTGAGGTTGATGGAGGAGAAGGGTATTGAGATAACTGCAGTGACATTCACCACAATATTCAATGCTCTGTATAAGAAAGGCAATGGTGAAGAGGCTGAGAACTTGTGGAATGAGATGGTTAAGAAGGGTATTGAGGTTGATGCTGCCGCTTATAATGTTAAGATTATGTATGTCCATGGCGGGAACCCGGACAATGTGAAAGCTTTGATCGAAGAAATGGCGAATGCCGGGCTGAAACCCGACACTATTAGTTACAATTACTTGATGAGTTGTTATTGCATGAATGAGATGAAGGAAGAAGCTGTCAAGGTTTATGAGGGGTTGGAGGGAAATGCTTGTAATCCGAATGCTGCAACTTTTAGGACTTTGATATTTTATCTATGTAAGAATGAGGATTATGATAAGGCGTATAAGATTTTCAAGAGGAGTGTGGAGGTGCATAAGATCCCCGACTTTAATACGATGAGACATTTGGTTGAAGGATTGGTGAAGAAGAAGAAGATGAAGGAGGCCAAGGGATTGATACGCACAATTAAGAAGAAGTTCCCTCCTAATGTTTTGGTTGCCTGGAAGAAAGTGGAGGAGGGTCTTGGTTTGGCTTCTTCTGATAGGAATGCTTCTTCGGTTCCTGATGACGAAGAGGCTAAGGAGGCTACAGCATAGTTATTGGCGGGATTCTGGTTGGTCTTGTGCTGAATGTGTTGATTACTTCATCTGCGGCCGCCCGAATTGATCTGGTGAAACCGTGAGCAAGGATGTCGATTTTCCGAGGAAGCAAGTTTGAAGCTTTTGGAAATTGTAATGCTGTAGAAGCTTCAATTTTGATTTTTATGTTAGTTTTCTACTCTGCTTTCTGCTATTTGGTTGAATCTGTTCACCTATTGTAGTGCTAGTAAAAATTACTCGGCTCATCTGGCATTTAGTAAGATTTCCGAGCCCTTGTTCAAGCTGTCTTTTATCCAGATATGGAAGCAGGCATATTTTATTACTTTGCATCCTGCTTATGCCATATCCAGTATGAGGATTCCGTTCACATCCTGCTAAGTGTTAACACTCTGTAATGTTTTATTTTCCTTTATAAATTTTGATTAACAATATGTTACATTAGAGTATTGTGATAACTTCGCTCAAGAAAAAAGCTGGTTGAAAGTTGTCCTGCCACCAACTATTGGTGTGGATTCAGTGGTCTGCTTGGAAGTCTACTGGAGTAGAGCATATATATTGAATTGCAAATTGCAAACCAGAGTGAGTTTAACGGCTATGAAGAAATGTTCATATTACAATTCGAACCAGAGTGAGTTTAATAGTTTAAGTAATACAGTTCTCTGTCAAGGACCCACAAAACTATTTTGGCTCAGAATCAGAACCAAAAATTTATTTGGAGTTCCCAGATTGTATAGAATAGAGGAGGTCACTGGGTTACTGTTACAGAGGAGGTAGCCTGCATATGAGAGTCGTTCGATTGTAAATGAGAGAGCCATTGAATTGCAGGAGAGAGTGTCAAGGAGAGAAGATAAACTCAGCCAAAGCTATTTTGTTATACACCAAAGAGCAAAAGAAAAAACTCAAAATCACTGTCAGCAGTAAAATTTATAACTAGACATATGACATTTTGTGGGTCAGTTATTTGCTAATTTCTTTTTGTAAATAGAGTAATAAGGAAAGTTTTTCAGGCCCAACCCTGCTGAGTGAAACGAAGATGCCACAGCTTAGCTTAGGCTGGCTATCTTGAAGTTCAGGTTCTCTTTCCTTTATTGTACTTGCAGTTTTAGTTTAATGTTCCTTCCGTTCAGTTCTACTTTCGGTTCAAGTAGTTGATTTTGTTTAATTGCTTTCAGATTACTGAAGATTTATCATTGGAGTTGTTTGTTCAGCTGGCCCTCTTAGCGTGCCCCTGTTGAAGATCAAAGCCTGCCTTGCAGGTTTTGCTGGTTGCATACCTGTGTGTTAAACTCCCAATGAAAATATATGAATTTGAGCGAGAAGCCTTCACCAAGGATACGATTTTGTTGAAATCTGTAATGAGAAAGATTCTGATTATGGAATCAATAATGGTCCTTTTCTCAAGTTACTCTAGCTCCCTTTTCCTTGTTAAAGTTTTCTACTTCCAACTCTATTTTGTATTTGACTGCCAAACAGGAAATCAAGGTGCTTAATATGATCAAACTTTATGGGAAGCCAATATGTGTAAATAAGGTACTGAACTGTTTTTCTTCCCTAGCTATCATTTTCTGGGTCTGTACATCTGTCATCTTGTTCTACATAGACAGGTGCCAATCATAGAATTGCACTTAATTTTTGTTTTTTGAGGGCTAGGCATTCTGTTGTGTCTCTACCCACTGCATATCATATATGTTCTGTAGTGATGATAGATTGTGTGAGAGTTTTCAAGTATCTAAACTAGGGAGGGTTCTACTTATAAGTAAAAGCGGAACTTCTGCTACGCCTTGTTATGAGTTCCATGCTATCACTCCTGGAAATTGGAAATTATATTTGTTTTGGTTTTGAAGCCAAAGTCAAAAGGGTATTATTTTAGTTGCAATACACATATAACTTCTGGCATTTGCTCATTGTTGTAATACTTGCTGAAATGGTGGCTATTTTACATGAAGTTGATTTAGAATTTGAATTTCTTGCACTGCAGTTTTACATTACAAAGTAGCCCAAAACTTATTTTTCTCTGTAGTTTCTTCTGTTGAGTGACAAGAAGGGACTAAATAGGTAGGCTGGGCTAGAACTTAGAACTAAACAAGCCAGATAGATAAAGATCACGGGCACCGTGATTCAGACTCAGTAGACCACAGGGTTGGGATCTTTGATTTGATCCTCTAAAAAAGTGTGCCTCAAACTCAATCCCAAAGGCAAATAGTAGGTAGAAACAAAGATAAGAATCCAAGGGTGGAGGACACATGGGTTATTGCTGCAACTGTGACTGGCTGATGACAAAGATTTTCTGATGAAACAGAGACATAATGAGCACGCTGCAAGGCTAAGCTCTAAGCCTCTAAAGCTAAGATTGATAGATAGATAGAAAGATGGATACACACAGAAGAGACACGAGTACATATGAACCAGAAAGATCTGATCAACTGAGCTCATGCGCTAAAAGAAGCTCTGCTACTTACTTGTGGTAAATAAAACTCATAGGGACATGTGCTGCTGATTTCAATTTTGAGCCAGCTATATAATTTCTCAGGTGGATGATGAATCTCTGATACCTTGTGTGCCCTCTCCACACTGAAACTTTACCATTTCCAGAAAAGATTCATTCTCTTCAGCCAAGAAAGAGAGAGAAAATTAAATGACAGCCTAATCAGCCATTTACTATTAACAGTATGAGTGAAGTGTTACTTTTTACTGCAGTGCTGGGTCACAACAACCAAGTGAGAGAGAGAGAGAGAGAGAGAGAGTAGTGGGGCGGGATTGAAGAAGAGCACCACCTGACTGATGATGATGACTGGTGAGGAGGACTGAGTTGGAGGGTGGGTCATCAATTCGTCATATCGTCATGGATCCGATTCCATTTCTCTACTTTTATTACGTTACGTGGTGTGTACGTAATAATATCCAAGGGCAAGGGCAATTTTCTTTCTTACTTTCTTTCCATTTGTGCGTAAAAGAGAAAGGTGAAAGGAATAGAAACAAATGGCAGACCCCACCAAAAGAAACAACGAAATAATAGAAAGAGGAGCAAGCAAATTGCATATCGGAT